CCACAGGTCTGTAGTTCAAGCCCACTAGCCACTCCATGGGAGAAAGATGAGGTTTCTGCTTCTGAAATGATTTTTTTAAAAAGCCTTGGAAACCCTATACAGGGTCATTATAAGTTGGAATTGATTCGATGATACTTAAGAAAGTGACCTATAAAGGAGAATTTATAAGGTAAGACAAAGCTCTGATCTCTCAGCAGAAATGCTGAAGGCAAGAAGACAACAGGGTGACACATATAAAACTCTAAGAGAAAAAAAATGCCAACCAAGAATCATATAACCAGCAAAATTGTCCATCAAATAAAATGGTGAAATTAGGACATTTCCAGATACACAAAATTAAAAGAATCTGTAAGAACCAGACCAACAAAATAGACAGGGGTGGAAAGATGGTTTATATCTTAAATGGACAAGTGGTGAACAGCCAGAGTCAGTGCCTATGGAGATTACCTCTGATAACAGATTTCTTCTGGGGAATAGCCAAATTTATAGGTTTGTTTTTCAAAACTCTGCTGTAACAAGATGTGAAGAAAAAAAGAGGCAATGGAAGCTGATCTGATTCCAGATCTGATCACGGAAGAGGACCACCTGGAAACCCTCCCTGAAGAATGGGTCGAATCAATCATTTGAGTAGCCCTAGTCCTCCTCCAATGGCTGGCAGATGAGGAAGGTAAATGTCTGCTCTAAGTTTCAGACAACTGGACATGCACATTCATACCAGAAGGAAACCATCAGGAAGTGGATGCTGACTGTGGTGGACAATTAAATGACTGTGTCTGTCTAAACAAGGATTGCTCTGTGTCCCCACAGATGAATGAGGTTGTGTTGGGAATTCCCTGTGCAGGGGTCTGGTGTGACTGACATGTAGTTCTAGAAATGCATGTGTTTGTCTCATTGACTGTTTTGTATAGTTTATTACAATATTAATACAGTTTTAATAAGTAAATACTTTTAGGTTGCAAAACTGGCTCCTCAACTTTATGTAATTAAAACAGAAAAATCTAAATGTCAAGAAAATAAGACGGTATACTCAGTACTATTAGCGTCACCTTACTGTCATCTTTTCAACTTCTAAAAAAAATGTTCAGTGTTAATTTGTTTTTGTTTATAAATAAATCACAGTATAGTAAAACAAAACAAAACAAAATTCCAGACAAACATTACAAAAAATACTAAAGGGAATTCTTTAGACAGAGAAACAACAACAGCAGACAACAACCTATCTGGTAGATAACATGACAGTATCTACCAGAACTCAACTCAGATAAAGAAGTACCCAAAGTACAACCTACAAGAATCAGAACTGTTGATTTTAAGCGTCATCAAGTCGGTTCTGGTTCACAGAAACCCTACATAGGTTTTCCGAGGAGCAGTTGGTGGGTTTGAACTGCCTACCTTGCGGTTCACAGTCCAGTGCTGATCCTACAGCACCATACAAGACTGAAAATAGGGAACCAAAAATACTAGCTTGTAACAACAAGTTGCAAACAAGTTTTTTTCTGAAGTATGACCAAAGGCCAGTCGCGGGGTCCTCCAGTCTTTCTGACCAGTAAGTCAGGTCTGTTTTGTGATTTTTAGTTTAAAAAAAAAAAAAGCAAAAAGAGGTAATAATGTAGTTATAGAAATTCCAAAGAGGAAATCAGTAGAGTTCACACACATACACACACACACAAAAAAAAAAACAGAAAAAGGAAAAAAGACTTAACTCTAACTCTAAAACTAGAGTCTTGGTGTGGTGCTGTAGGATAAGCACTGGACTGAAAGGTTGGTGGTTCAAACTCACCAGCTGCTGCTCCTTGGAAATCCTATAGAGGGTCACTATGAGTCAGAAATGACTTGATGGCACTTAACAACAATCGTAAAATTAGACCAAGCCTTACTCCTAGCCCCACCCCATCCCTACCTACTAAACAAAGTTCTAGGCCTGGTCTAGTGGAGTCCTGGAGTGGTACTGTAAATAAACACTAGACTACTAACTGCAAGATCCACAGTTTAACCCACAAGCCACTCCTCAGAAACCCTATTCATGGTAGCTATGAGTCAGAACCAACTTGATGGCATTTAACAGTAAAAACAAGGCCTTGCCTAGACCTAACCACAATTCTCACCCTAACTCCTTATTCTGACCCATTCCTGCCCCAACACCAAACAAAAAATTTCCCCAAAGATTAGATTAAAAGAAACCTGGTATCACATTAGAGGAGTTCTGTGTCGCTATGGGTTAATGTGCAGGACTGCAAAGTTGGTTTGAACTGCAAAGTTGGCGGTTCAAGCTCATCAGCTGCTTCTTGAAACCCTATACAAGGTCATTATGAGTTGGAACTGACTCGATGGCACTTAACCACAACAACAACAACAACAACAACAATACATTAGAAGTCCTGGGCAGAGTGTGAGAAAAGGTGGACCAAAACACAAAATTATAAAAAAAGACTCTTGAGGAATGTGCTCCTCGAAACAATCTACTATTGCTGTTAAGTGTTGTCAAGTAGGTTCTGACTCATATCGACCCTGTATAAGGTTTCTGAGGAGTGGCTGGTGGGTTTGAACACCTTCAAGAGTGTTTTTATTTTATAGATCAAACTCTTTGGCTGAAAAGTGGCCTCTGGGGTTGGCTTCAGTTCCAGGTTAAAAGGATATTTTAGAGCAATCGATTCAGGGTTCCTTTATATGCAGTTGCCATAGTAATGCATTGTTGTTTTCTTTTGTTTTGAAGCTTTTTATTGTGAATTGAGTGAAGGTTTACAGAGAAGATCATCTGTTTTACATTCAACAAATCATAACATTTTGTTTCATCTCAATAATTACAATCCCCTCTGTAACAACAGTTATCCCACTGCCTCCCTGTGGTTCTTATTCCATTTCAACCTCCTTCCCATCCCTTCTCAACTTTGTCCTTACATAAATGTTGCCATTTTGATCTTAAATGGTTGACCATTCCAGGGTGAACACACCTTACTACTGTTGCTGTCCCCTCTGTATACCTGCTACTGCTTGACTGGAAACTGAGCTATGAGGGCGAATTCAGTTCCAGAACTGAAGGATGGCAGAAGGCCATAATCTCTGGTTTCTCTAGTTTCTGTTTTTATAAGAAAATAAAACAAAAAAAGTAGGAAAGTTCTTTTAAATATCTAAATATTTTATACGAACAGGTCATATAAATATGGTATGTTTATATCAGCAAGTCATATAAATATGATAGTTTGGTTTCAGTTTCATCCCTTATAGTCACTATTTGTTATTACACGTCATTAAGTAGGTTCCAACTCAGTGATCTTTTTATAGGGTTTCTGAGAAGCAGCTGGTAGGTTTGAACTGCTGACCTTAGAGTTAACAGTTAAATAGTTATCCTACAGTTGCTATAAGCATTCACTATAGATTGAGGTTTTGAAAAACTTCACTTTCAAAATAATGACTTGAAAGAACTATTCTTGATTTAAAGCCTTCAGCAAACAGGTATCATCTGATATAATCAAAACAGCTTTCATTTTACTCCAACTTAATAAAAAATGCTTTCAATATAAAGGAAATCAGAAGAGCAATTTTCAAATTTACAGTTAAAATAATAACTGAGAGTTTTAATTACTGATTACACACACACACACACACACACATTTTACCTTTCTTCCAATATGGATTCCTGGAGTGTCGGCTTCTATAATAAATCCAGTAAAGGCTTTACTAGCAGAAACCTGAGGATTTGGATCAGAACGGGCCAGTAGAAAATACCTGGTATGAACATATATAAGATAATGGTGATAATAATATTAGCAGATAACATATGGTGATTAGAACTTAGTTAATCTACTCAACAACACTAATTATCATTTAGAAAATGAAGAATAAGAGATTTTAAAACTTGCCCAAGGATATGGCAGAGCTAGTATCTCAATCCAGGTATACTTTATAATTACTATGGTATTCAATTTTTTTTGGTAATAAAGTGCTGTTGTGATGTGCCGTGGAGTCGGTTCCGACCCATAGCGACCCTGTATAGGGTTTCCGAGGCTGTAAATCTTTTTGGGAGCAGAAAGCCTTCTCTTTCTCCCATGGAACAGCTGGTAGTTTCGAACTGCTGACCCTGAGGTTAACAGCCCGATTCGTAACCACTACGCTACCAGAGCTCCTAGTAAAAACTGCTTATATAAAGATAATAACCATGATCAATTGGCATAGAGTATAGTTCACAAAAGCAATGTTCTTCATTTTGCCTGGATCTTAAAAGTTCATGAGCAGCCATCAAGGTGCAGAGGAAAGAAGAGTGATGAAAATTGAAGACACCTGGAATCAACTAGCCCACTGGACTAATAGAACACATGAACATCAGTCTCCACAACTCTGAGACCAGAATTAGATGGTGCCTGGCTACCCCTACCAACTATTCTGATAGGGATCATGTTAGAAGGTAATGTGGAACAAAACTTAAAATCTTAAAAAAGATCTGGTTTACTAGTCAAAAGGACTGGAGGATCCCTGAGACAATGACCCTGGGTTACACTGGAGATCTGCACTGAGCTCACCCCTATGGTTCAATTTCAAGCCAAGCAATAGATAGGCATATGGGGAGTGTGGGTGGGGCAACAATTCTAGTGAGCTATGTACACCGTGGAATGGTCAACCATTAGAGATCAAAGGGAGTGTTTACCTAAGATCAAACTTCAGAAGAATTGGAAAAGAAGGTTGAATGGAAACAAGAATCATAGAAAGAAAGATAACTGATATTACATGGAGGGGTGAAGATTGGAATTATTGAAATAAAACAAAGTATATGATTTGGTGAACATAAACGCAATGATCTGCTCTGTAAACCTCCACTCAATTCATAATAAAAAGTTTTTAAAATGTAATAAATGAAAAGTATATGCATGTTGGAATTGGTATTTTTCTTCCTTCAAACTAGTTTTATTCAAGGAACAAGCTATCTGGAAAAAGAGAGCCAATAGGGCTATCTGTGAAAATAATGCTGTTGCTAAGTGTCATTGAGTCAGTTACAACTCATAGCAAACCTGTATATAGTTTCTAAAGAGTGGGTGGTGGATTTGAACCTGTACAGGGTTTCCGAGGAGCAGTTGGTAAGCTTGAACCGCCGACCTTGCAGTTCTAACCGACTTTGCAGTCCACAGCATTAACCACAGTGCCATACCAGGACTCCGCTTTCACATTAGGAGAGTTAATTAAATGTTTGAACAAATATAGCAGACTAATTTTTGAGTTGATAATTTTGTATGGCCCGCAAATGATGTTATAAATTTTGGCAGAATAAAGGTTCCCCATCCCTGGTATAGGGATTGAAGAGTAGAGATACCAGGCCATATAGATGGGGCTCTTGTCTTTATAATCAATCAGATTCAACCAGTACAGCTGCTTTTATTTTACAAATTGAACTTCGGAGAGTTAATTGAGAAAGCAGTTCAGGGGCTTTAAAATATTTCTGAAAATCACTTGACTTTTTATAATCTCTAATGGACCTTCCAAGGAGCTCTGGTAGCGTAGTGGTTACGAATTGGGCTGCGAACTGCAAGGTCAGCAGTTCGAAACTACCAGCTGTTCTGTGGGAGAAAGATGAGGCTTTCTGCTCCCATAAAGATTTACAGCCTTGGAAACCCTGTA